AGAGATCTTAGGAATTATTAAGGTGACACAGCTTACAAGTGTTTAAAAGCATATGAGAACATGATGTTACTTTGCCAAGAACTAATTTAAGAACATGTGACTTATTTTCTCAGTTAAATTACTTTTTTTTTACTGGAAGTTCTGCTTATTCAATCTTTCTGGACCTTAGATGTAATTATTTCAAACAATTTCTATTTCTTGAAACGTGTTTTATGAAGGCTTTATCCCCTTTGTACATAGCCTACAATTGAGAGAACACATAGGTACATAGGACTGCACAGGTTTACAAGAATAGGAGATTTCAAATGGCTCATGGGAACTTAGCTCTCTCTGAAATCTGGACATCTCTGTATTTGTCCCATTGCAATATATATAGATATATACACACATAATTGCAAATTATATATACACACACATATATATATATGCACACATATATATGAAGCCCTGGGGGTACAGTGGTTAAGAACTCGGCTGCTGTCATGGACTGAATTGTATCCCCCAAAAATATGTGTATTAATTTGGCCAGGCCATGATTCTCAGTATTGTGTAATTGTCTACCATTTTGTCATCTGATGGAATTTTCCTATGTGTTGTAAATCCTAATCTCTGCCTGTGGTTAATGTGGCAAAATTAGATTATGTTAAAAGGATTAGGGTGGGATGTAACACCCTTACTCAGGTAACATCCCTGATCCAATGTAAACGGAGTTTCCTTGAGGTGTGGCCTATACCACCTTTTATCTTACAAGAGATAAAAGGAAAGGGAAGTGAGCAGAGAGTTGGGGACCTCGTACCACCAAGAAAGCAGCACCTGGAGCAGAGCGTGTCCTTTGTACCTGAAGCTCCTGTGTTTGTACCTGAGGTTTCTGCTCTGAGAAGCTCCTAGACCATGGGAAGATTGATGACAAGGACCGTCCTCTAGAGCTGACAGAGAAAGCCTTCCCCTGGAGCTGGCACCCTGAATTTGGACTTCTAGCCTACTAGACTGTGAGAGGATACACTTCTGTTTGTTAAAGCCATCCACTGCTAAGACAGCTTCTAACCAAAAGGCCAGCAGTTTAAATCCAGCAGCTGCTCCTTGGAAATTCTATAGGGCAGTTCTACCCTGTCCTATAGGGTTGCTATGAGTCAGAATCAACTTGATGGCAATGGGTTTGGTTTTTTGGTTTTATACATATATATATATATATATATACACACACACACATATATATATGTCTTTACTCTAGCAAGTCTAAAAAATTGACAAGTAATACCATTCTAGCAATCTTAATTCTTTAAGATTTTTTTTTTAATGCAGAGGGTTAAATACCCTCTGCTCTAAGCCAGTAGCATATTCTTCAGTGTAGATCTGAAATGTACCAATAGAGAATGCTATATTGTGGGAGTGATACAAGCTAAACTGCCCTTTAGTATGGCTGGACCTGAAGAGTTCCCTCATATGATCACTGTAAACCGAAAAATCCAAACCCGTTGCCATGGAGTCGATGTCAACTCATATCGACTCTATAGGACAGAGTGGAACTGCCCCATAGGGTTTCCAAGGAGCAGCTGGTGGATTCAAACTGCCAACCTTTTGGTTAGCAGCCGTAGCTCTTAACCACTGCGCCACCAGGGTTCCATCATCACTGCATAGGGATTAAGAGTCGAGTTTCTTGAGCCCAGACAGGCCTGAAATTGTTTCTTAACTCTATCACTTCAGAGCTGTGTGGAGTTGGGCAAGTCATTTTAATTTCCTAACCTTAACCCTAATTCTAATCCTTTCACCTTCAATGTTCTAATCCTGAAAAAAGGTTAATTACAGTCTGCCTGTCATATGGGGGCAATGGTGGTTCAGTGGTAGAATTCTTGCCTTCCATGCGAGATACCCAGGTTTGATTCCTGGCTGATGCATCTGTCTGTCAGTGGAGGCTTGCATGTTGCTATGATATGGAACAGATTTCATCAGAGCTTCCAGACTAAAATCAACTAAGAATAAAGGCCTGGTGATCTAGTTCTGAAAATCAGCCAATAAACACCCTATGGATCAAGTTCTATCTGCAATTGATCATAGGGATGACACTGGACCTGGTAGCATTTCATTCCATTGTGCATGGGGTCACCATGAGTCAGGGACCAACTCTTTGGCAACCAACACCAACAATCTACATACAGGATTGTTGTGAGGACTGTATGAAATGATGTACATAAAGGCCTTGGCACAGTGGCTAGCAAATCATAAACCAAAAAAACAAGACATTGCTGGCGAGTTGATTCCAACTCATGGTGACCCTATGTGTTACAAGGTAGAATTGCTCCGTAGGGTTTTCTTGGCTCTAGTCTTAACGGAAGCAGATCACCAGGCCTTTGGCTGGGTGGGCTGAAAAAGCCAACCTTTAGGCTAGTAGTTCATGCCAACCAGGCACCTTGGAACATCATAAGATCTTAGGAAAGGGTAACTATTACTACTACTACTATTACTATTGTTACTAATACTAGTAGGAGGGAAAGAAGGAGGGGCACCTGTATTCCAACCTAGATTCCTGGTGTCTTCAAGATGCTATTTTCCAGTTGGTATTCTCTCTTCATGTATTTCAGTTAGGGAAAAAGCCATGTGACATGAACTTCAGGAGACTTGTATTCCTTCAGTGAAGCCCTTCTTTTTAAAGTCAATTTTTAGATTAGAGTTATTTTTAATCAATGTAAATTTGGAACAGAGTTTACCGAAACAACAGGGAAAGATCAACTCTCCAAATTGTCAGCACTCTTGGGAGAGAGTGGGCCTTTTCTACCTATTTGTGTGTTCCTTTACACATCTGAAAAGGTATTGACCCTTGGAGAAACATTCATATATTGGAGCATTTAAAAAGTTAATGTGAGAAGAAAAAATTAATTTCACTGAGCTCAGAGAAGGGAAAACTTCGAACACCAGTTGGAAGATGCTGTTTATGTGTAGTGAATGGTATGTGAAACACAAAGGTGCAGTTTGATGGTTTTAGATTTTTGTGCTGTGTCTCTATCAGCAGTGGCATGAACAACAGAACTTTTTATTAATGGAATTCTCTGAAGAGCTCAGAGCACATATGCTGCTTTAGTGAATGACATTCTGTTACTCATACATGCTTTGGGATTATTTGTTCTTCTTATGGGCTACCGAAATCAAGAGTAGGCTGGCAAAAAGTTTTGTAAGATAGAAATTCACTTTTTTGTATATTTTCATTGCAACTGCTGTCTAATTTGTTCTCCTGAAGGCTAATCAAAGGAGATGTAAAGGACAGCCAATAAAAATACCATTTACTAAATGAAGAAACAAAGGCAAATGTTGTTGAAGTAACCTATTCCTCAATGTCCAGCCTGTCAATGCAGGAGTAAAAAGTAAGAAGAGGTAGCCAGTGTCATGGAAAGTGCACAGCCTTTGATGTGAGACAGTTCAAATGGACATGGATTTGCATCATGGCTGTATTAATTATTAGCCATGTGGCCTCAAGCAAACTCTTAGCTTTTTTTTGTGCTTTAGTGTCTTATGTGCAGAATGGGGATAATAAAATCCATTTCCACAGATTGTTGAAAATATTGCTTGAGTTACATGTTTAGAGAGCAGCTTGGTGCTCAGCATATAACAGGCAATAAATGTCCTTTTCCTCTTACACTGCAAGCGTCAAGAGAGATGCTGGGGTAGTTACAACCAGTGCTTTTGTAATCATAGTAGCCAGCATGTTTTACTCATTATTATGGGTTAGCTAATGCTTACTCAAAGCTTTCTGTCCATTAGCTCATTTAAATCGTCACATCGATTCTACATGGTAAACATTATCATGCACAGTTTACAATTGTAGAACATGAAGCTTAAAGAAGGTAAGTAATTTGCCCAGGATTGCTCTGCCAAAAAGTGTAAGAGCTGAGATCTAAACTCATGTCTCCCTGACAGTGAAGCTTGCACACATAGCCTCTTACTTACTGCCAACGTCTCCAACCATGGTCTGGCTGAGGTTTAGTTGACCTGCAGACTGTGGAACTAAATCTTGGAATTAGTAACCAGTTGCCATGGAGTTGACTCCAACTCATGGCGACCCCATGTGTGTCAAAGTAGAACTGTGCTCCACAGGGTTTTCTGTGGCTGATTTTTTCAGAATTAAATTGTCAGACCTTTTTTTCAAGGTACCTCTGGAGCCCTGGTGGCACAGTTGTTAAGCATTCAGCTGCTAATCAAAAGATTGATAGTTCAAATCCACCAGCCGCTCCTTGGAAATCCTATGGGGCTGTTCTACTCTGTCCTAAAGGGTTGTTATGAATTGGAATCAAGTCGACGGCAATGGGTTTGGTTTTCCATTTGGACTTGAACCACCAACCTTTTAGCAAGCAGCCAAGTATGTTAATCATTTGCATCACCTAGGGACTCTTACACATTAGATACTGAATAGTAAACTTCTGTGTTGCCTTCAGGGCCCTGGCCGCGTAGTGCTTAAAGAGCTCTGCTGCTAACCAAAAGGTTGGCAGTTGGAATCCACCAGCTGCTTCTTTGAAACCCTATGGGACAATTCTAGTTGGTTCTATAGGGTTGCTATGAGTCAGAACCAATTTGACGGCAATGGGTTTGGTTCTTTGGTTTGGATGTTGCCTTCACGTAGAGTCGGATTTCCAACTCCAAAAGAGACACCGTGAGTCTGCAGTCATTGTTCTCTTGGCCCAGAGAGTCAACTTAGTTGAATGACTTTCCCCTGAGAGTATTTGTGAGAGGACCAACAGCTTCTGAACTGGTTTGGCCCACTCTAGCCACATCCATGCAGCCCCCGGCATTATGCTGGGATGTGTCCAATGACCACTGCACAGTTGGATGAACCTGAGTCAAGAAAAACCACATGTGAAAACACTTTTCTTCTCAAAATGATGGTGCATCTGCAAGGGTGTAACTGGCAGTGATATTCTTGGCATTTATTGAAAACACCCCAGGCTGCTTGGGTAATTAATTTCCTAGGGTTAGTCATTAACAGACTTCCTGCCTTCCTCCTTCTTTGACAGGCCCAGCTGTGAGATACAGCAAGTTCAAGATGTCAGTGGCCAGGCCACCTCCCCTGCTCGGGCAGCACACGGTGCACATCCTGAAGGAAACCCTCCTATACAATGACAGCACCATCAGGGAGCTGCTCAGCGCTGGAGTGGTGACCCAACACGAAGCCAAGTGACAAAGGAAAAACATTCTCATCCTCAAAACCACAATCTGAATGCACTTTGCTGGCAATGACAATGCTTTTTCTGGACCCTTCTCCCCATTTCTGGTGCCACTGAAAAGAAAACTTAGAGTAACTCCAGATTTCCTGCCAGGCATCTCCACAATGGTTCTGGTATTAATGAATCAAGTGCGTTTTAAATGCACCCCATCATTTATTCTCATTCCATTTTTTTTTTTTTTTTCAGATAATGGTTTAATCGTGAATTTATGGAATTTTTTTGGGGGGGGAAGGTAATGATTTAATTTTTCTCTGGCAAAATACTCTCTCATTCTAATTATGTTAATAGTCTAAACGTTTGCCCCTCCAGCCCACACAGGCCTGAAAGAGAGCAGATCTCTTGACAGTCTCTACTTGCACATTAAGTCCTCATTTAAACCTTTGATTTTAAACAGAATAACTTAATTCTGAGCTCATGAACGCTTTGTTAATCTGTAATTTAAACCATGGACTTTTGTTGATGTCCATTGTAAAACTGAACTCCGTTCTCCCTCGTGGGCTTAAGTATTTGCTTTATGTTGTATTTCTCTAATGATTTCATGATATGTGGCAGAAAATCAATTTCCACCCATTTTGGGGTGTAGGTATTTGTCTGTCTGGGGGGATGAGGAGTGGTTCTTCAATCAGTGCCTTATTTTAAGCCAAGTGCAAATGCAACAGGTTTTTAAATGAATGTCACATGCTAAAACCAATAAAATGAAACCCATTGCCATCAAGTGGATTCAGACTCATAGCTACCCTATAGGACAGAGTAGATCTGCTCCATAGGGTGTCCAAGGCTGCAAATCTTTACAAAGGCAGACTGCCACGTCTTTTTCCCATGGAGCAGCTGGTGGGTGCGACCTCTCCATTAGCAGCCAAAAGCTTAACTGCTGTGTCACCAGGGCTCCTACTGTCACATGCTACCCAGGTATTAAATCATGTATAATTAATGACAAATGGGAGAATGAAAGGAAAGCAGTTCTTTGTAATCTGGGCTTTCACTGCAAAAGAACATATCATGCCTTAGTATTAAGATTTCAATTTGTCAATGAATTTGAAATAAAGTAAAACATTGCTCTGTCCAGGAGGTGAGAACTGATGTACATGTATGTTTCAGGATAGATCGTCCCTCAGTCTGCTAATCACTTAAGCCCAGGTACATACCAGGGAAACAGATGACACCATGATCAGTATCCTGACATGACCTCAACTCATGGCTGTTAGCTCAACTATAATTGAAAGTTAAATTACAGATGTTCGTCTTTCAAACTGTGATTTAGAACTCGTTTTCTTTTTTATTGGAATGAACTGAGCCATTTCTCCATGCTGTAGTCCCACTATGTTTCAAGAATCAAGGATTCCAAATAAATAGGAAATTCATCTTTTCACAAGGCCTCCTGGGACTTTTTAGAAGAATGCCTACTAATTTTTGAAACAGTTATTGTCCTCCGTGATTTGCTTTTTTGTGGACATCTTATTCTGAAGAACTCCTGCTGTTATTCTACTAGTTAGAATTTCATCATTTAAGGGTAATTGGATGCCTTCTGCAGTGTTTTCCCCCCAGTGGCTAATTCATGGATATATATTTGGAGACACTGATGTCAGGCCAGGCATCTAAATGAAATTCCTCCATGTATATACAGTTAGCTTGGGAAATGGCAAAAGGTTGGATGTCAGAGATTAGGCAATACAACATACCTTTAATAACAGACGTACCATTTCTCCTGCTAAATACAAACTTCTGACCTACATAGCTATCTTAAAATATAAGTTGCTTGGTTACTAAGTAGTAACTCTAAATATCTAAGTAGCCATATATGTAGGAGGACATTGATCATCCATAGAGAACCAGAAAATACCTCTAAAACTTTCATATCAACAAGAAATGCCACCTTCATACATAGCAGAGCCACCACTGAAACAAAGACTATTTACCCGGTATAATCATGGATCTAGCTATCCACTTCCAGCTACACAACTCAAAATGATCCAGGAAAGCTTTGAACCTGTGGGTCACCGAAAAGAAAGCGTTGGCTCTATGGATTTAGTGAAAGAATTAATTCAGAATATATTTCAAGCTCAGATAGATAATTAGTCCTGAAAGAAACATTGTTGCTTGCTAAAATTTCTAGCAATATGCCCCAGATCAAGTTATGCTTATAAACAAATGTGCTGCTTTAATTATCAGGGGTCTATTATCTTAGACATTTCTGAAACTGAACGCACTACTAAGATACCATATGCTCAAGTTCAGTTTGTGTCAAGGCCTGCCTTCTGGCAGGTTTGTAACTGATATTGGCCCAGAAAATTCCGTGAAACTTAGTGGGTTAATTATTGTGGAATCGAGGGTGTGTCCACAAGCTTTCTTCCCTTGCTTTTTTTTTCCTTAACTTTTTGCTGTCATGACTTTTTGGTTAATCAAGCGTATTATTTTCCAGCATACAGTCTGATATGTTGAATGTTTCCCTAGCAGAGAAGTGAATATCGACCAACTTTGTGTGACTACCCCAGTTACTTGGTGTTATCGTGATCCATTGACTAGGGGTTAGAAGTACAGTCATGATTTAAAAAACAAAAGAGGTCTTACAAAGGCTGTTTCATACTAGGTCAATAGGCTGCTAAACCTAGATAGCACAAAACCAAACGTGAATTCAATTACGACTCACAGTGAGTCTACAGAACAGAGTAGAACTGCTCCATAGGGTTTCCAAGGAGCGGCTGGTGGATTCGAACTACCGACCTTTTGGTTAGTAGCCAAGTTCTTAACCACTACACCACCAGGGCTCCTAGATAGTACAAGTGGGGACTTTATCATGAAGACTTTCCGATTCCTGCTGTCAGCCTTCTTCAGGGAAATTCACACTGACTCATTATTCCCCTGAATTTGATATTTCATCACTGCTTCTTTTGTCTTGTGGCTTTAGCATGCTCCGCGTTTTACAAGCTTTGTAGATGTGAGTTGACCTTTTGGTTAGCGGTTGATCGCTTTAACACTACTAGGGTTAAATGTTTTATAAATCACTACTCTCGTAAGATCCTTGAACAGCTTCTCTATACAGACATGCCGAGCTATCTTCCAAGCACAAATAGCCCTGAACTTTTAAACAAGGCTGGCCATATGCAGGACAGTTTTATGCAGTGGGATTAGAGGGGTATAAGCAACTCTAATAAACATGTTTCCCCCAACAGCCATTCAAAAAAATATCTTCCAGTTTCATTTTAGGAGGATAAAGTGTTATAGACAAAAGTTAAAAAGATATCTGGCATTGCTCAGTATTAATGGATACCAATACTTTGCACTAATGCATTTATGCCACACATTAGGGAAAGCAAAAATGAAAGAGGAGAGACAGCCTTGACGGAATGAGACTTGGAATAGGTACATTTGATTAGCAGGAAAGGGGAAGATAGTGCTGCCCAGGACAGTAGCCCCAGGAGTACATTTGCTCTGGAGGCTCTGGAGATCCAATGGGCAGTGAGAGCACAGCTGGCATGAAGGTGGCATGAGGGAGGAACAGGCACTGCAAGGAGCTCAGAAACCACCCAGAAAACGGATTTCACCCACCTCACAGTTTTTATTGATAAGTGGCCCTCTTTTCACCCACTCCTTAAAATCTTAAGTCTAAAGGGATTGCCCAGCCTCCTGCTCCTCTGCAGCATTCTTAATAAGAAGCTGTGGTAGGCAAAATAATGGCTCCCCAAAGGTGCCCACGCCCACGCCCAGAACTTGTGACTATGTTATGTTACATGGTGTCATGGGCTGCCGTGACAAAGTACCACAAACTGGGTAGCTTAAAACATCAGAAATTATTGTCTCACAGTTCCGCAAGCTGGAAGTCCACCATCTAGGGAGGAATCTGTCCCATGCCTCTCCTAGCTCCTGGTGGCTTCTGGCAATCCTCTCCACTTCCATCATTACATGGTTGTCTTCTCACAGAGACTGTCTGTGTCTCTTCTCTTTTATAAGGACCACTCATACTGGATTAGGACCAACTTTACTCCAGTATGACCTCGTGTTAATTTAACTGATAACATTGTCAAAGACCCTATTTCCAAACAAGGTCAGATTCACAGGTACCGGAGGTTAGGGCTTCAATATATCTTTTTTGGGGACAATTTAATCCATAACCTATGGCAAAGGGAACGTAAGACTGTAGATGGAATTAAGGTTGCTAATCAGCTGATCTTTCAGTAAGAATATCTTGGGTTATCTAGGTGGATCCAATGTAAATACAGGGGTTTCTTTAAATGTGGAAGAGGGAGGCAAAAGAGTCAGTGTCAGAGTGTAGTGATGTGAGGAAAACTCTACCAGCCATTTCTGGCTTTGATGATAGAGGGGGACTACAAGCCAAGGAATGAGGGAAGCCTCTAGGAGCTGCAAAAATCAAGAAAATGCATTCTCCTCTAGAGCCTCCAGAAAGGAATGCAGCCCTGCTGACACTCCTTTTAGGCCAGTGAGACTCATTTTGGACTTCTGACCTCTATAACTGTAAAATAATGCATTTATATTGTTTTAAGCCACCAAATTTGTGATACTATATTACAGCAGCTACAGCAGACTAATACAAAGGCAGTTTTGCTTAAAAACTTAAGAGACGGGAAACTCGCCAGTTTACAGAGCAACCAACTGCCACCCTCTTATAATTTCTTCTTTTTTCTATTTTTTTCTTTATAGTTTTTTCTTTACCTTTCTTCTTTTTTTTTTTTCCTATTCTTTGAGCCTCCTTCCATCGTTTCCTCCCGCTCCTTCTCTGTGGCAATGATCTTTTTTCTTCTTCTCCTTTTCCCTTCCTCCTTCTCTATTCTCTTCCTCCTCTACATCCTCTTTTCCTTTATCTCCCTTTGTACACACACACACACACACACACACCACACAGAGTTATATATCCATGTTACACAAATATGGACACCAAACCTGTGACTGACCTACAGAAAGTAGGACTTACTCAGTAATTTGAAAGATAACTAGTGGT